CACGGATTAGACAGGTAAGGGGGTACCCCTCCGTCCCATACCAATCCACATGCAGTCCTCAAGACCTTGGGAAGTCATTTCGTTGAGTGATAAACACAAGCCCCCCTCAAATAAAGAGAGATGAATGATCTCAAGCTTATGACCAGACGGCCTCCACCGGGGGAATGCCTGGACCATTGCCTGAACAACTTCCAATGTGTGAAATATCTTTCTACTACTGTAATGAAAAAAATAAGATCAGTCTTGGCTTCCTCTGGACAGATTTTAATGATTCAAAAAGTGTTTTCGGAAAACTTTTCGGGATTTTGTATTGCTGACAACTTCTTTCAACCAACAAAAAGTAAAATTTCTCTAAGTTATGATGCGTGACATTTCTTCGCCAAGAGTAGGTACATTTTAAATTATAGACCGTACTGCGATAAACGCTCCCTCGGGAAGCATGTCTGCAAGATGGCAAATACCATACCAACCAGAGTGAACAATAGGCCTACTATACTGGGTTTGATTTTTGTAGCAACTAGTCATCATCAGTACGGGAACATTTTTCACTCAAAAAGCTTGCAGAAGTGAGAAACCAAATTGAGCGAGGTGAACTTCCATGAGTAATCGGGTTCATTAAAGGGCTGTTAATTTATTTACATACAGTTAATCGAGACGCATATATGCTAATTTATCCGTTTCCATAATCAGTAAAAATATGTACGCACACTTTTAGCATCCACGTCAACAACGTCAGGTCTGGCTGGACCAAGGTTGACCATTGATGATTAATGGCTTATTCACAATTGAAAGGCGACGCAAGTTGAAAAATGCACCGCCCGTCAAAAAATGCGACACCCGTTGAAAAATGCGACGCCGGTTGAAAAATGCGACGCTGGTTGAAAAATGCGACGCCGGTTGAAAAATGCAACGCTGGTTGAAAAATGGGACGCCCGTTGAAAAATGCGATGCTGGTTAAAAAATGCGACGCCCGTCGAAAAATGCGAGCCCAAGGCCACACGCACCAGTGAAGAAAATAAATGTTTACTTCAGGCAGGCTGTCTCATGTTTTTTGTTCATCACTGGAGAACTCTCAAGACTGTTCAGACTGTTCAGTGCCACAGAATAGATTTCAGCCTCCATTTCAGTTACTGGAAAGAATAACCATTGGCTGGTTTAGTTTCTTGAAGTCAAGAGGAGATTGTTCACACAGAAGTTTAGAAGTTGTCCTAGAAAGGTGCTGTTACACTGGAAGCACCAGATGATGGTCAATTTATTTCTTCCCTATTTTGTATCCCCAAGAAGTCAGAGGTACTCCAGCCTATAATAATCATGCATCCTCTGAATGCGTCCGTTGCTTATCACCACTTTAAAATGGAGGGAATAAAAATGGGAAAGGATCTGTTACACCAAGGGGATTTTCTCGGGTCAATAGACCTCAAGGATGCATACTTCATGATACCAAGTCACAAGGATCATAGCAAGTATCTATGTTTTATTTGGAAAAATCAAATATTCCAGTTTGCTTGCCTGCCATTTGGCCTTTCCAGTGCTCCCGAACATGCACAAAAATCCTGAAGCCAGTTGTTGCACACCTCCGTCAGATGGGAATTTGTTGTGTTTTTACCTAGATGACATGCTGATTCTTGGCAAATTGTCCAACAAATGTAGGAGCAATTTGAACGTAGGAGCCAATCTTCAGCAGTTAGGATTCGTGATACATGTAAGTCACGACAAGTCACAGTTTGATCCATCGCAAAAGGTCACATATATTGGCTTCCTCATCAATTCCATTTTTCTTAAAGGGTGGATCAGACCGTATTATGGCAATAATACAAAGTAAGTCTCTCCTCCTTAGGTCTCATATGATTCCAATTATATGGCCGGTGAGTACCTTTACATAATTAGAAATTTTGGGTTAATTAAAAATGTAGAAGTAAAACTGGGAGAAAATTAGGTCTATACAAATTTCAATGTTTGGGTTTTGTTTAAGTGTCCAGAACAATCTGATAAAAGTGTTTGTCAGATTTCAGTGGTTTAACATGTAAACTTGATGTCCACTTTTTTCATTGTTACACCTCCAGGAGTTGAGCACAAGATCACTACAATACTGTTGGATGGGAAGAGAGTGCGATTAGAGTTGTGGTATGTACTGTACAAGGCTAAGTCTAGTACCTGTATGTTTAATTTACATGTAAAATGTACACTGTGACTTGGTCATAGCTATTTTCAAGGACTCTCTGCATGCGTGATAAAAAAGCTACCTTTGAAAGGCAAAGCACATGTTCACACATATTGCTTCTCTCACAGATAATACCTCACCTCTGTTAGCTACCAATACATTTCGAATGCACATACGCAAGCACTTCTGCTGAAAAGAATAAAGACCATGATGTCACCCCATATAAACTTTGTGCCCCACGACTGTACATGTACATACCAGAATTTCAAAGGTACATGTAACTTGCCCCTTTGTTGGCAGCACACACGCTGAGTTTGCACGTGCATTTAAGGTTTGCGTTTGTGTTATACACGCTTGGTGTTTCTGAACATACCGCCAACACTTCTGCTTTACCATTATGTCAGATCATAAAATGAGGAAAAGAACATTTACAAAGTCTAAATGCAGATCAGCTGGGGGACCTTAATCACACTTTGATATAAATGCACTCCTGCTTTTACCGATGTCACCTAAATTTCTGAGAAAATTTGTGTGGAATTTGCTGAAGCTGGTCATCTGAAAATTGGAAAGTGTTCCCTTCATGGCAGGACAATCTTATGTCACCCATCCAAGCTTGCTGGGATTCCATGGTTACCTCTGTGGTTTCTAGTGCTGTGGCCACCATTTCAGATGGAAATTCACAACAATGTGGCGAGTTCAACAGTTCTCCTGTCCTCTACTCTAAACGTTTCCAGTGGAAATGTGAAGAGCATGTACACATGTATGTGTTATCGTACAACTGTCAGATTCCAGCCATACAGTCAGCTGGTGGGCCGGCCAAGTTTCCCCGGACAGTTCCGGGTGAGAGGCTAGATCATATGGGTTTTCATCAAGAACAATAGGGATGTGCATTTGGGTATTTTTGGAACCAGGTACCCATTTTATGTCAATACTGGTTACCCCAGGTACCCTTAAATATAAGATCACTTAACAAATGGCATTGCATGCATTCCCGCCAGACCATGTACCAGAAACAGGGCTTTAGAGAGCAGCACATTGTTTTAAACATCAGAGGGGAATCTCCCCCACAATTGTGAAAACAAAATTGTTACCTTCAATTTCCAAATTTTTTCTGTCAGTATATGAAACACAAAACAAATTTTGACGAAGAACATAAAAATAAACAAGAGGAAGACGATCTGTAAGCCACCAATGCACCAGCTACCGGCCAAAGGACACAACAATATCCTGGATGTTGAACTGCCACAAACATGTACTGGTACGCAGAATTCATGTGCACAAATGGTGAGCGCTGATTGTGTCATGTCCAGACTAGATCATTGATACGTTATGGGCTTATCAAATTATGATTGGTTACATGACACCATGGTAATCTATGACTGTTTTCTATTGGGTAAACACTCCCGTTGCACTTAAGTTGCCAGGATTAAAACTCGTTTTAGTCGCATCTGGTATCATTAAAAACAGACAGAGAACACCCACACAAACTTATCTGCTTAAGCCAAACTTTTTGTTGTCTTCACACAGCAAGATGAAATGTTTGTATTTAATCCTCACACCGACAAAGATACAGCCCAGAATTCTGGCAGGTGGCATAGAATTTGTAACCCTGATTTTGGCCAGAAGGTCATAAGTAGAGGGGACTAGGGTATTTATGTCAGGTAAACATGGGAAGAAAAGACTTTAGACAAGACTCTGAACGTGTACTAGTATGCAGTGAATATACATGTACATGTAAGCCATTTAATTTTTTACTGTATGCATTATGTGTGACAAAACAGTGCTAATAGAGAATGCTTTTTATTTCATTTCAGAAATGAAGTGGGTGTTGTTTTATCAAGCTATTTCATGTGATAGTAAAGTTAAGAGGGATAAAACCTGTGCGGGGGGATTTAATAAGCCCCCTTCCAAATACTTGTTGCCATGTACAATTCAAATCATTATCAGAAACATATACAGTGTATCTTCTACTCCGTACATGTACATAACCTGTTCAAAAATAAATGTAATGAAATGAAAAACTAGTCAGAGCCTTTTTCCTGCCAAAAAAGATATCAATTTTTTGAGGTCTGAACGTTTGATACAGAATAAGAATCACATTAAAGGATGACTCTTCCTATTTATAGATAGCTGGATGCAGAATTGCAGATTGAATGTAAACTGAACCATGTATAGTTCCAGGGTTGGGATTAGGTCACAGCAATAAACAAGGAATTACTACATGTATGATGTACTGTTTAAAGTGTACCTGTAACAGAGATGGAGAACCGCAGTATCTAGGGTGTGAGGGGGAAACAGGAATTGTT